AGATTTTGAGCAATAAACCTATGAAAAGCTTTCAAGTCTCCCTCCCTTACCTGTCTCCACTATTTTACCCAGCTCTCACGAAAACACTCAAATTGTCTTGCAGATTCAGAGGCAACAGAGTTCAACATAAGAAGATGCCTGAGTCCCTGAAAAGGGAATCTGCTATCACAGTTCCCTTAGATTCAGGGAATGTAATGAGCAATTTATTAGAAACCACACCTAGATTAATAATGAAAAACCCCAGATTTATCCTCTGACATACCTCCAGAACTTTGGAATATAGAAAGCACACATTTTAACAGGGAAAGGTAGACTCATGTGAGTTTGTGTGTGTGTGTGTGTGTGTGTGTGTGTTTGTAGTGTGTGATGTGTTGTCAGTAGCAGTAGGGACTGAGAAGTGGTCAAAGGTACAGTATGGTAAGGGGGGCTATTTGGATATATTATTTTGGAAGGCACATTGGAAAAATCTCTTTGATTTTATTTCAGGCAGTGAAAGTAGATACAAAAATTCACAAGTTATTCCCTAAAACACCCTCTCCAATTTATTGTGAATTCGTAGCTGCATATCAGAGAAAACATTTGGCCTTTGCTTTGGGGGAGATTGGTTTATTTCACTTAGAATGATATTCTCCAGCTCCATCCATTTACCAGAAAATGCCGTTATTTCATTCTTCTTTAAGGATGAGTAATATTCCATTGTGTGTATGGACTGCATTTTCTTTATACATTCATCTGTTGAAGACCACTTATATTGGTTCCATAGTTTAGCTATTGTGAACTGAGCTGCTATCAATATTGATGTGAAAGCACCACTGTAGAATGCTGATTTTAAGTTCTTTGAGTATAAAGTTAGAAGTAGGATAACTGGGTCAAATGGTTGTTCCATTCCAAGTTTTCTGAGGAATCTCCATACTACTTTCCAAATTGGCTGCACCAATTTGCAGTCCCACCAGCAATGTATGAATAGGCCTTTCCCCCACATATCCTCACCAACATTTATTGTTGCTTGGGTTCTTGATAATTGCCATTCTTGCTGTAGTGAGATGGAATCTCGGTATAGTTTTGATTTGCATTTCTCTAATTTTTAGAGATGTTGAACATTTTTTCACATGTTTGTTGATTGATTCTGTTTCTTCTTTCGTGAAGTGTCTGTTCAGTTAGTTAGCCTATTTATTGATCAGATTATTTGGGTTTTTTGGTGTTAAGTTTTGACAAAGCGATGTGAAAGGAGGGGAGGGTATAGGAAGAATGGTAGAATTAATCTGACATTATTACCCTATGTGCATATGATATTACTCAACCCATGTCTGTCTACATCATGTACAAATATTTACATATGATGTGTCAAAATGAATTCTACTGTCATGTGTAACTAATTAGGACAAATTAAAAAAGAAAAAAATATAAATTCAGAAATCTTTGAAGAATATATATGTACCCACATAACTGGAGCTATGTGAGTGGGGAGCACCATGGTTGGATATGAAGTCAAGGAAACATTGGGAAGCAAATAAATAGGGTGTGTGCTTCTCTCTAAAGATTTGACCTTTATTCCACATGAAAAAGAATAGAAAATAAACCAAATGAAGGATTTGAGAAGATGAATGACTTGATCTGCTATTTGCTTTTAAAAGTATTACTTTAGATTATGTGCATGAATTGATGGAAAGAACCCTTTAGGAGACTGCTCCAATGTTGCAGGTGAGAAATGGTCTCACATCAGATTACTAGTTGTGGGGTGATGAGAAGTGGTTGAAGTCTAGAGAGAATCAAAGGGATTTCTTGGCAAATTATAGTAAAAGAAATGGGGGAGTCAAGAATGATTGGGGTATTAGGCCCAAGTAGATGGAATACAGAGTTGCCATTAATTGAAATGTGGAAGACTTTTGGAGATTCAAACTTGACGTGAAAGATAAGGAATTTGGTTTTAATAAAATGCTTATGACGTATCAAGTGGAAATCTTATTGGATCTGAATTGAAAGTTTGAGAATGAGGCCAAGCCTGGAGATTTAATAAGGAGTTAGTTGTGTAAAATTGAATTTACAGTCATTAGATTGGGTAAAATATTCTAGATATCAAGACAGAACAGAAAAAAAAATCACTACTCAGATAATAAAGAGAATCCTTTAAAGGAGATAAGAATGGCTGATCACTGAAGTAGAAATAAAACAAATGAAAGACAAGCATGCCAGAGACCAAGTTGTACAAATAATTCTGTGAGTTCAGGGTAATCAGTGGCAGCAAAATTGACAGGCTGGTCAAGTAGATGAGGACTCCCAACTCAGAGACCACCGATGATGGACTTGTCTAGAACAGTTGTGGAGTTGTGGCATGAGGAAATGCACAGTTTTAAGACAGCAGCAAGTTATTTTTCTAGAAATATGGTATAATAAATATCCTGAAAAACTGTCTAATTGAACTAAAATTCAGTCCACACAGACATGCATCGCATGTGCTCTACCACTAAGCTATATCCCCACTCTTAAATTTTGATAAATATGATAATCATTTTTTAAAAATTCATGATGAACTAACAAGAAAGTAAGGGTTTTCTTGACAGTCAAAATTAACACACACACATACACACACACACAAATCAGAGAGGTAAGCAATCATATGCTGAAGACAATAACTCTCTTGGAAACATATATTTATTTACCTTTGTGATGTAGACCTTTGGCTTTAATAATCACACAGGAGATCAAGGCTAAAACCCTGGGTATATACAACGTAGGACTTCTGATCCAAGATTTTTCTGCATAAGACCAGTTTATTGAGGTCTATTTCTTATGCTTATAGTTAATTTTTTTAAAAAAAATTAATTGATTAAGCAAAATAACTGAACAATTTTCTCTGATATTGACAGTGTGTAGTAAGGTGGGGAGGATTTTTCCCCTGAGACTATGTAATTAAAACACAATCCTGAATTAGATTTGAATATTAAATTAGTACCATTTGTGTTGTCAAAAATCCCTTAACCAATACTATGGCACATCCTTAATACCTTCCTTTGAGCCTGGCAGAGTGGCATATGCCTATATAGTCCCAGCTACTCAGGACGCTGAGTAAGGAACATTGCTTTAGCCAAGGAGTTCTGGACCAGGCTGGGCAACACTGTGAGATCCCTTCTCAAGTATAAAGAAATACACACACACACACACACACACACACACA